TCACCAGGGACCTCAGGTCTGTGTCACTGGGTGCAAGTGAGGTGGCTATAGGAACTGAAGAGGAGCCCTGGGCAAGGAGAGGCACCAGCTTGGTAGGTCTGCAGGACTGCCGGGAAGACGGAAGAGCCTCATTTGCTTTGAAGTTCTGTGTGGCCCCAGAGCTGAGTGAGTGAGGGCTCTCAGGAGGCTGACTGGGGCTGCGTCTAGCAGAGGTGGCCTCTCCTCAGGCCAGCCGTGCATGGTGTGTGGATCCTGCAGAACGCCCCCTTCAGTTTTTTTTTTTTTATATGTGTAATGAGAATTGTTTTTTTTTTTTATATGTGTAATGAGAATTGATTTTTTTTTTAATTTTTTTATTGTTGGCTGTTCAAAACATTACATAGTTCTTGATATATCATATTTCACAATTTGATTCAAGTGGGTTATGAGCTCCCATTTTTACCCCATATACAGATTGCAGAATCACATCAGTTACACATCCATTGATTTACATATTGCCATACTAGTGTCTGTTGTGTTCTGCTGCCTTTCCTATCCTCTACTATCCCCCCTCCCCTCCCCTCCCCTCCCCTCCCCTCTTCTCTCTCTGCTCCCTCTACTGACATTCGTTTGTCCCCCTTATATTATTTTTCCCTTTCCCCTCACTTCCTCTTGTATGTACTTTTGTATAACTCTGAGGGTCTCCTTCCATTTCCATGCAATTTCCCTTCTCTCTCCCTTTCCCTCCCACCTCTCATCCCTGTTTAATGTTAATCTTCTTCTCATGCTCTTCGACCCTACTCTGTTCTTAGTTACTCTCCTTATATCAAAGAAGACATTTGGCATTTGTTTTTTAGGGATTGGCTAGCTTCACTTAGCATAATCTGCTCTAATGCCATCCATTTCCCTGTAAATTCTATGATTTTGTCATTTTTTAATGCAGAGTAATACTCCATTGTGTATAAATGCCCCATTTTTTTTATCCATTCATCCATTGAAGGGCATCTAGGTTGGTTCCACAGTCTAGCTATTGTGAATTGTGCTGCTATGAATATCGATGTAGCAGTGTCCCTGTAGCATGCTCTTTTTAGGTCTTTAGGGAATAGACCGAGAAGGGGAATAGCTGGATCAAATGGTGGCTCCATTCCCAGCTTTCCAAGAAATCTCCATACTGCTTTCCAAATTGGCTGCACCAATTTGCAGTCCCACCAGCAATGTACAAGTGTACCCTTTTCCCCACATCCTCGCCAGCACTTGTTGTTGTTTGACTTCATAATGGCTGCCAATCTAACTGGAGTGAGATGGTATCTTAGGGTGGTTTTGATTTGCATTTCTCTGACTGCTAGAGATGGTGAGCATTTTTTCATGTACTTGTTGATTGATTGTATGTCCTCCTCTGAGAAGTGTCTGTTCAGGTCCTTGGCCCATTTGTTGATTGGGTTGTTTGTTCTCTTATTGTCTAATTTTTTGAGTTCTTTGTATACTCTGGATATTAGGGCTCTATCTGAAGTGTGAGGAGTAAAGATTTGTTCCCAGGATGTAGGCTCTCTATTTACCTCTCTTATTGTATCTTTTGCTGAGAAAAAACTTTTTAGTTTGAGTAAGTCCCATTTGTTGATTCTAGTTATTAACTTTTGTGCTATGGGTGTCCTATTGAGGAATTTGGAGCCCGACCCCACAAAAAAATAAAATACTTGGGAATCAACCTAACAAAAGAGGTGAAAGACTTATACAATGAAAACTACAGAACCCTAAAGACAGAAATAGAAGAAGATCTTAGAAGATGGAAAAATATACCCTGTTCATGGATAGGCAGAACTAACATCATCAAAATGGCGATATTACCAAAAGTTCTCTATAGGTTTAATGCAATGCCAATCAAAATCCCAACGGCATTTCTTGTAGAAATAGAGAAAGCAATCATGAAATTCATATGGAAAAACAAAAGACCCAGAATAGCAAAAACAATGCTAAGCAGGAAGTGTGAATCAGGCGGTATAGCGATACCAGACTTCAAACTATACTACAGAGCAATAGTAACAAAAACAGCATGGTACTGGTACCAAAACAGGCGGGTGGACCAATGGTACAGAATAGAGGACACAGAAACCAATCCACAAAACTACAACTACCTTATATTTGATAAAGGGGCTAAAAGCATGCAATGGAGGAAGGATAGCATCTTCAACAAATGGTGCTGGGAAAACTGGAAATCCATATGCAACAAAATGAAACTGAATCCCTTTCTCTCGCCATGCACAAAAGTTAATTCAAAATGGATCAAGGAGCTTGATATCAAATCAGAGACACGCCGTCTGATAGAAGAAAAAGTTGGTTACACATATTCTTGACAGAAGTCTGAGTCCCCACAGATAATTGAGCTGGTGCACATGTCATTGTGTAGATGGCTCAGCCACCAGGCCTGATTCCCAAGGTGCCTCTAAAAACAGGAAACTGAACTCTTAGCTTAGCCACCAGCCATGGCAGCTGTGAGTCTGTCAGGTGTAGGAGAGGAAAATGCCAACACGCGTGATCCCCCTGCTTTACCGAACTTGGAGAGGACACTGTGATAAATGACCCACTTCCCTTAATGCCTTGGGAATCTTCCCAGGGCCTGTTAGCTCTTTGGGGAGCTTTGGGCACAAAGGACAAGTGGCAAACCATTGAGGCTGCTCCTTACGCCCAAAATTCTCTAAGAAGCTCTCTGGGCAGAAGACTGGGCACAGGATCAGATTGTGGCAAAGCCCTTGGAGGTTGGGGCTGTGTTGTCAAACTCAGGTCACAGGGCTTTGAAGACGCCTGCATTTATCCTTTTACAGCGAGGACTGCCATGTCTGCAGGCTGTTACAATGCATCCTTGTTTTGAAGAGCTAAGAATTGGGTTTACCGAGTTAGGGACAGTGAGAAGGGTACTTTCTAATTTTTTTTAATGTGTTTTTCAAAAAAGGCAACTGCTTATTAAATAGATCTTTAACATTGCTGACAGAGAAGGTCCTAAATGCAGCAGAATTTACCAATTTATCAGAAGTTTCACCAGCTATGACCGTAATAGGGTATAGTAATGACAGCAGGAATGGTCACAGCTAATGCCTGGTCACTCCTCTATTCAAGTACCTGTTGTAGCTCCCAAGTACCCAGTTCCAAGCTTCTCTAGTTGATTTTCTGGACACCAATAGAGACCAGGCTTGCTTGACTTCACCAGGTGGCCCAATCACTTACCACAGACTAGTCAAAGGCAGAGGCAGGACTAGAACCCAGGCCTATCAAATCAAAACTGCTTCGTCAAACCAGTTCTCATGGAGTCAATAAATACACCAAACTACTGAGTTCCTGCTACATGCTCAGGCCTAGAGAGCCCCAGTTTGTCCTCAGGGAATTCCTGAGGTTGAGGACACCAGGCCAGCAAAGAGAAAGCAGGTATGAGCAGGGCTTCACTGCACAGTATGGATTTGGGATGCCAGGAGAGACGCAGGAAGGGCCTGGCTCAACAGCAGGACATCACAGAAGGGAAAACAGGGGCTCCCATCGCTGGCTGTGTGGACCCTGATGGCAGTGGGTTGATGCAGCACACAAAGATGACAGTAGGTCTCAGGCAGCCATCCCTGGGCTGGAATCCCACGGCCCCATCCAGCTGGTTTCTGTGCAGCTTGGCGGACAGTCCCCAGCACCAGCTGGCATCCTGCCTGAAGCACTGCACCTCTGTTTGGTGTTCTGCAAGCTACAAAGCACCGCCCAGCTGTGTGTAGAGGTGGCTTGAGGCTATGACCTCCAAATGTCAGGAAGATAACACCCTGGAACCAAGTCCCAATCAGGGGTGGGAGTCAAGGGGAGATATCCAGGTGATGCTGAGGCATGTCATACACCATCCCTCAGGGCCCCCAGCAGGACTGGACCTCAGTTGTACACAGTATAACCAGCCCAGTGGTGCACCTTGTTCTGGATTTCGTCCTCTCACTGATCTCTGTTTCTCATCCCTCACTGTTGTTTCTTGGGATCATCTCCTAAGTAAACCAGCAGCTCTCGTGGCCCTGTCCCAGGGAAAGACACAGGGTGAGGGTTTAAATCTTACCAAGGTACTGACTCTGGGTCCCCAGTCAGATTCGAGCCTGCAGAGGCTGAGGCACTCCTTTTCTGGAAGGCTCTTCACTGGTCCATGAGCCTCAAACCCTCCTCCAAAGCAGGGTGGTGACTACTCGGAAAGGGTGGGTAATCACTGTAGCCACCAGTGCTGCCAGCCACCAGTCAGGCACCGTGTCAGAGGCACATTCTCAAACCGGATCTGATTTACAGCCAACCCACCCAGTTTCCTAAGTGAGAAAACAGGACCTTTCTCCCACAGAGTCCTAGGATAGTCAAAGGCAGAGGCAGGACTAGAATCCAGGCCTATAGAACCAAAAGTTCTGTGTTCTGAACCTAGGTCTGCAGGGCAGGCTTCCTGTTTGGGAAATGGGATGGGACCTCACAGGAGAAAGCTACACACTAGTTATTGTCTCGGCGATATCTGTCCCCTAATGGGCACAGTTGGGAGGAGGTCTCTGAGTTGTCCCTCAACTATAGAGAGCCTAGAAAGCAGGGTAAACTCTTGAGTGACTAAGCACAGGTTGAATAATCAATGCACTAAGGAGTGATGATAGCGACACCTGTGCCTTGGAACCCAGACGTAGGAAAGGACGGGGTGAGGAGAGCTCTCCTCCCTCTGCTCACTTCACCCACCCACCGTCACCCACCTGAGAGCAATTTACTTTGCAAGCAACACAGATTCAATTTAGGGTTAATTTGCTTGATGTGGGAATTAACCTGTCATAATGGACTCTATCTGTGGGGAACGAAGGCCATTCAGAGGGTGCTAGGTTGGATCTGGACAGGAGGCTGGCGGATTCTGGGGCAGGCAGGGGACTGTGCTGGGGGCAGCAGCAGGTGGGAGAGAGAGAAAGTCAGGACAGAGAGGGACACCGGGACACCTGCTGGCCCCTCCCGCTCCTGCCTCTGGACTCTTGTTCTCATCACCCATGACTTCGTACCTGGGCTCCTGGCTTCAGGGAAGCCACAAGGTCTTTGACCATTTTGGCTTCAGAGACTGTGATGCCACCCACCACGAAGAGGATCAGGAGCGGGTGGTCGCTGGGATGAGGCCGGCTCACCTGCAAAACAGAAGACCACCAGCGTCAGAGGTGGGCCCAGGGCCGCCACCTCATCATGCACTGGGACTTTGAGAGACTGTGATTTATCAGCCATTAGGTGTGTCAGTGCTTAGTGACTGAATTGACCAGGAAAATAACATGGTCCCTTATCACACCCATTTAAAGACTTTACCAAAAGAAAGGTCTCAGGAGCTGGTGGCTACCAGACAAAAGTGAAGGCGGAGGACAGCACGTTATACACCTCAGAATTGTTCAGGTCCCAGCGCAAACTTGCTTCCCTTCGTTGTTGCAGTGGTTACTTCCTTCAGAGCAGGTCCCACAGCCTATGGCCACCATATTCTCTTATTTGTTTCCTATCTGCTGTCTCCTGTACTAGAACAGAAACCCACCAGGGTAGGCACCTTATCTACCTGCTCTCTGCAACTCCCAGGATACCTAGTGTTTGGCCCAGAACAGGTGCTCTGCAAATGTGGGTGGAACTAATGAGCAGTTAGAACTCGCAGCAGGCGGGGGCAGGGGAGGTGTACAAAGATGGAGGAGACTGGGCCACCCTGGGGAGAGCAGACTCTAGCACAGACCTCGACTTCTTCAAACAGTCTTAGTGGAGAACCCCCACTGCCTGGAACCTACAACAGATGCTGTAGAGAATTCTTCATGATTACAAATGATTTCACCAATGAGACCAAGTATTATTTTATCCCTAAAATCAAAATGACTCTTTATAACCACTCAGGAAATGCAAAATAACCCGTGAACAGACTTAGCAAAATGATACCAGCCGGACAATAGGGTTTCTAAGAATTATGTTTTGAGTTATTTTTGGAGGCCGGAGTTGAATTGGTGAGGAGTGGGTAGGAGGGAGGGTGGAGCCAGGGTCTGGAGATAAGTGGTCGCCAGCTGGAAGGAGCAGCTCAGGGCCTGGCCAGGATGCACACCTGGAGGCACGACAGAGGGGCTCCTGTGTTCACTCACTCTGCTCACAGATGCACAAGCCTCTGCAGGCCTTGGAGTGACCCAGGAGCAGCAGGGTGGGCAGTGGGGCACCAGGAAGTCTTTCTGTCCCTGTCCCAGCTCCTTTCTCAGCTGGGTTCTGCTGTCCCTTGCCTAAAGATACCCATTTCTCAGTCTCTTATTTTAAAAACTCTTAAAGGGATAACACATTAAATATTCCAAGTTTTATAACTTATTGAATTCTGCAGAGAAACTCACAGTAGGAAGGAAGAAAGGAAGTTGAAAAAAGGAAGGGAGGGAGGGAGGAAAGAAAGGGTGGAAGACATTCTAAAGGTCTGCAAAATTAGTAATGGCGAATATTGGAAAAAGTTACAAAGCCCTTTCACCTTTAGAATAAGATTGTCGCCAGGCATGGTGACACACGCTGTAATCCCAGAAGCTCGGGAGGCTGGGGCAGGAGGTTCAAAGCCAACCTCAGCAAGAGCAAGACACTAAGCAACTCAGTGAGTCCCTGTCTCTATGTACAATACAAAAAAAGGGCTGGGGATGTGGCTCAGTGGTCAAGTGCCCCTGAGTTCAGTCCCCAGTACGCCCCTCACCCCAAAAGAGAAAAAGATTGTCAACTCCTCACCCACCTCTAGCATCCTGCTCTGTCTCTCTCCTTCCCTTTGACCTCTTTTCCATTTGTTGACTTCTTTCTTCCAACCCACCATCCATAACACCCTCTGAGACCCTGCTATTGTCACACTATCCCCTGGAATCGTTCACACTGAAGTCACTAATGGCCATTATATTGTAGGAGTCAAAGGATACTTCTTTGACTTTATTTAACAGGACATTTCTGTGGCATTTGTCACAATTAATGACACCCTTTCTGGTTACCATGATGATACTCTCTTGGTCTTTCCTCTTTCTTCCTTTCCTTCCCCTCCCTCCTTTTTCTTTCTTTCTTTCTCTCTCTCCCCCTCCCTCCCTCCTTCTATCCTCCCTCCTGTTTCTCTTTCTTTCTTCTCTTTTTCGTTGGAGAGGGCACCCAGGCCCTCATGCACACTAGGCAATTGCTCTACCACTGAGCAACACCCCCAGCCCCGGTTTCTGTTTCTTCTCAGATAAATGGCCCTGCTTAGGGCTCCATGCTTGGTCTCTTACTCTTCTCCCTCAACACACCATCCCAAGGGACCTCATCTTCTCATCTGCCTTTGACAATTTTTTAAATACTTCCCAAGTTTGTCTTCAGCTCAAACATCTCTACGATCCTTGGACATTGCCACCTGGATGCCTCCATGGATTCTAAACTCAACTGGCTTCAAATTTGATGTGCAACCTTCTTTTGATTCTACCCTTCGCTGGAAACTCGAACCACATGCCATCTTCACAGTCACTTGAGCCAGATGTAGGAGAGCCACCTCAGACTTTGCTGCCTCTTTTGTCTCTCAGGTTGAGTCCTGCCCTTTCTGCCCCTCATGGTCATCAGTATCTTCTGGACTCCCACATCCCCAACTTCTTCACTAGGTTACTGCTACAGCTTTCTGCTTCATCTCTCAGTCCCTGGTCTGGATATTCTGCATCCATTCCCTTCATTTCTACCTAGTAATCTTTATTTTCTTTTTTTTGTGGTGCTGGGGATTGAACCAAGGGCCTTGTGCATGTGAGGCAGGCACTCTAGTAACTGAGCTACATCCCCAGCCTATAGTAATCTTTCTAATATACCAATATTTAGAATTGATTATAGTGAGCACAATGCTACTTGTGTGCATTTTCTTTTTTTAATTCTGAAAATATCTTTAGAAGGCAAGTGCAACTATTAATGTATTTACAGATGAAAAGATTGAAGTAATGAAATTATAGAGCTAGGGGCTACAGTCCTACCTACTGCTCAGCTCTGTTATATGTGCAGATTCTCTGCATAGAGTTTCATGGCCACGAAGATGAAGTTCAAACTCCTCTATATACTTCAGTATATAAGGCTCATATTGCATAGCTTTGGGTTAAGTCTTCATTTCCTCTCCACATTTTTTTTTCTGGAGTCATTCACAATGACTTGTGCATGCCTCAATGCTTGGTTATTTGCATTTTTTGGGAAATTCTGTTGAATATGTGACATTTTATTGAATATAGGCCCCAGAAAGTGCATTCATCACAAGTGTACAATTTCATTTATTTTCACAAAGTAAATAAACCTGCATGCCCAACACCCAGATCAAGAAGTAAAAACTTGTACTTCAAGCCCCCTCCTGTCACCTCTTCTAGGATAACCACCACCCTGACTTCTACTGCTCTACATGGTACTTTGCTTCTTTTGCTTAACTATAAGCCTGGGAGGTTCTCTTCTCTTCTCTTCTCTTCTCTCTTAAAAGCACGCCCTCCTCTGAGAAGTTCTCCCCAGATATCTTTCAACCTCTGCACATGATTCCAGCCTGATAGCCCCCTCTGTCTTTGCCTTGGAAAACCAAACTGCTACCCTGATATACCATCTCCTCCAGACTCTGAGTTCCTGACAGGAAGGGACTGCATACATTTGCCTTGAAATTATGGGGCTGAGCATAGTACCTAGTACACAGGAAATGGTCAGAAATTGTTACATAAATAAAACAGAGGAATGAACAAGTGAATGGGTTGCACAGGTTAATGGAGATGCCCTTCTTATCTTAGAGAGCTTCTAGAAAGTGCTTTGCTCATGGTTTGTCTGGCTGAATAACTGACCCTGGGATTTCTCCCAGCCCCACAAACAACTGTCGTTTCTCAATCCTAGAACAGAAACACAATTGACTCCAGAGCTTCAGCATGGTACAATATGTTCCCTGTGACATATGCTTTCCATAAGAGAGTCTGGAATCTGTAGTACATGGCAAGAATCTTGGAAAGATGTATTGAAAGATGAAAAGGGGAAAAAGAAACGAACAGCAACAACAAAGAGCAATTCCCTGGAGGAGTGGAGGGAATGCTGGTTTTGTACAAATAAATGGGTCTAATTAATGCATGTTGCTGTTTGCTGTTTGGGTTTTAGTTTAGATTTATGTTTTGATACCAGACTTTCCCTTCAGACCATGTCAGGTCAGCAGGCTGTTGGGAACTGGAGCCTCTTCCACCCAAATAACGCAATCTTTATTAGCAGCCATACATGGCTGGGTCCCATTTGTAAGTTAATTCATGGTGAGACACTTTGAAGATGAAAGATTTGAGCATCATTTCTGCCATCACACATGCACAGATTAATAAAGCAAGTCAGTGTCTCTGCTCTTTCATTTTCAAAACCTTTGCCAGCTGTGACTTTAAGACAGCAGTTCTGGTCACAGAAGATGGTTTCCCTCCATATTGCGTTGCTGCCTTTCCAGCAGAGGCTGTGGGTCCTCTTTGCAGGTGTGGACCCTAAGGGAGCCCTTTGATGTCTAAGTGGCTTCCAGGATGGGGTTGTCAAAAGGCTTTCTGTTGCTTCTGGTTTCTGGGTGCTTTCTAAGAGCCCTGGGAATCCTGTGGTCACTTCCCTCACATGGTGTTCCTTTATTCAATTTCTCTCCCTCTGTGGCTCACTTGTCCCTAGAACAAGGAAGGTCAGGTCCCCGATTCTCCATCAGTGGGCAGTGCCTTGTAGAGGCAGAAACCGGAGCATGGGCCTTAAAGAGTACTAAACTCTGGAAAGACCCAGGCTGACTTTGAAGATGGCCCAACAAGGGCTTTTCTTCCACGGGAGTTGGTAACATTGCCACCACTGTCACCAGATATTTAATGTCTAATGCTGTGCTTCTTATTCAGTTTTTTTGTCCATTCAACAAATATTTATTGAGGGTCAGATGCTGCTTGAAGCATCTGGGATTCAGCAATGCACCAAACAGAGAAGAATTGGGGTGTTAGTTAGTTTTAGTGGTAGAACTTAGTTTTAGTGGTAGGGTGGAGGGTGGAGGGTGGGGTAAAAATAAATAAGTAAGCTGGTAAGTGCAGAAGGTGGTAAGTGCTATGGAGGAAAACTGGGGAGAGGGGAGCCATTACTCTAGGCAATACTTAGAATCTATGAAGTAGGAAGAAGCCCCATTTTATAGAGACACTGAAGC